GAACTTCACAACACATAATTTCTTCAGGAGTTTGGCTGTATAGCAACAGTGTGTGGGGAGATGGTGGCTGAAAAAGGTAAGTGCTTCCCCTGTAGGTTCTTGACCCTCTCGGCCTGTCGCAGTCCTTGTGTCCTTAGGCAAGACACTTCAACCGCTTTCACTCCTGGCGGTGGTTGGAAAGACTGGTGGCGCCAGTTTATGATAGCTTTGGCTACAGGTCATCACCATCAGAGCGTGAATGGATGAGTGATTTATTGTCGCGTAAAGCGCTTGCTGACTCAGAAAAGTGCAGGTAATTCATCATTCATTTATCCATATCTAGCTGGTATTCAACAACTAAGTGCTTCAGCGCTGACATTAACTATCTGTGCTCACATCCTAAACCATTGGTTGTGAGGTCCGGATCATGACCAAATTCTTTTTCTGAAAAGAAAAACTCTGAAATAAACAAAATGCCCAAAACAAGCAGCTAGAATGAGCTTTGTTTGGGAGAAGCCTGGCCTCAGCATGAGAGGCAGAGCATCTGCTCCTTTGCATCAAAATAGTCAAATGAGGTGGTTTGTTAATTACTGATTTCCACCCTTTGGAGGGTTATGGACATATCCTGCCTGAAGTTTCTGAACGGATCAAATATTTGGCTTGGTAGCAGTTTTGGATGTCTCAAGAGAAGCTGGATGGAGGGACTTAAGGATTTCTTGGTTTCCCTCCTGAATCTACTGCCTCCCAAACCAAAACTCAGAAACGTGGGAGGCAACGAATAGATAGTTTCTAACACTTTTATATTATAAAAATGTAAGAGGGCATACGGGCCTATAGACACCCATTCCTTATTTAAACACGTCAGCCTTGGAAATAAACTAAAAGTGTAGTTCAGATCAACAAGGTCGTTGCCTCCAGTCATACCCTTTTAGGTAACCCGTTGGGTCATTGCTTACAAACTACAAGTCTCACAACAATTTGATTTACTTTGTAATCAGGTCCTGGATCTCAAACTTTGCAAGTCTAGGCCTAGGAGGGAGCCTTGGCTCTCTGATGTCACACGGGCTTGTGGGCGGACTTGTAGATCCTCTGAGAGAAAGTGGAAAAAGGATGGCCTACAGGTCTCGCGTGAGTTGTTCAGAGCATCACTGGTTGCTTATCAGGATGCTGTGAGGGCTGCTAGAAATGCCTATTTTGCAAACATCATTGAAACAAACTCCAAGAATCCCACGATTCTCTACAAAACACTGAACTCTGTTCTGGTGCATCAGGAGCCCAGCTTCATGTCCACTACGGCTGCTGGAAACTCTGAAGATTTTCACAAATTCTTTGTTCACAAAATATCGGGCATTAGAGCAGCTATTTCTGGTAACTCTATTGACCCAGTGCCAGTTCTTCCATCACCACCGACCCTGAGCTCCCTCAATACCATTTCTTATTCTGAGCTGAGTGAGCTTGTTGCGAGGCAGAAGCCATCTGGCTCTCCACTTGACGTTCTGCCGCCTCGCCTCTGGAAGGCTGCCTTTCCGTGTCTTGGCCCATCACTTGGTCAGATTATCAATGGGAGCCTCAGCACAGGTGTGGTCCCAGCTGCTTTGAAAGCAGCAGTTATTCGGCCGACCCTGAAGAAACCTGGTGCTGATGCCACTGTGATCACAAATTACAGGCCCATCTCTACCCTGCCTTTTACATTGAAACTGCTTGACAAGGTCGTTTATCAGCAGCTGGTCTCACATTTAGCCGACTCTGATCTGTTTGAGGTTTTCCAATCAGGGTTCAGGTCTGGCCATAGCACAGAGTCGGCTCTACTGAGGGTCTTAAATGATATCTATCTATCACTAGATCAGGGTACATCTGTGGTGCTTCTGTTGTTAGATCTGACTGCAGCTTTTGACACGGTTGACCACGTGATTCTGCTTGATCGCTTAGAACGATGGGTTGGGATCAAAGGGTCTGCTCTGGATTGGTTTAGATCGTATCTCCACAACAGGACATTCTGTGTTAAACTAGGTGATGTTTTTTCTTCTTGGAAGGGGCTCCACTGGGGGGTCCCGCAGGGATCGATCCTTGGTCCTCTTTTGTTTGCCATTTATCTGCTTCCTCTGGGGTCAATCTTTCGTAAACATGGCCTAGCGTTCCATCCAGTGGCGGCTCCAGAAATTATTTTCTGCAGGTGCTATGAAGGAGCTAGTCTTTTTAATTGAGGGTGCTATGAAGGAAGTGGTCATGGGTACCTATTCTCCAAAACACCTTCAACACTAGCAGATACACATGCGTGCACAAAACCTCAACAAACACCTGAAACAATCATTAATATATATCATAAACATGAATAATCGCTGACTTTTCCATGAAATCATAAACACATACAGCCACACAGAAAACCATCTATAGTGTTGCAAGGTTAGCTAACGTTAGTGTTAGCATTTCCAGTGGCAAAACCTTCGACTGCTGCTGCGGTTGAGGGTTGACTCTCTTCATCCAGATCCGTAGGTTTTTGTGGGTCTGAGATCACTTCCAAAGATTCATTCGTTTCTGACTGAACCCGTGGAAATTTGGGCAACAAAAACTGATCCATTTTACCACTAGCTCTACCTTTCACTTGTTCGCAGGTGGAAAATGAGGTAAAAGGTTAACATCAGTTTCCTGTTTTGGTTTAAGTTTTTACTATCTATATGATAATTTACTGACTTTGTTTTGTATGTTAAATATTATCACATCCACACATTAAATTAAATTAAATTGTAAAAAAAAAAATCTAATATTTACTTGGGGGTGCTATGGGGGTGCAATGACTAATCCAGGGGTAGCTATAGCGCCCCCTAGTGCCCCCCTGGTGCCGCCACTGGTTCCATCTGTATCCTGACGATTGCCAGATTTACTCTCCATTTTGTCAAGAGAAAGGTCTCTCTATCCAGTCCTTTGTGTCTTGTCTTAACGAGGTGAAGTCTTGGGTAATGGCCAACTATCTGCATCTGAATGAGGGAAAGATAGAGCTCATTGTTTTTCACCCCAACAGCAGGGCTGTGTCTCGTCATGTTGATCTTGGCCCTCTTTCTCCCTACTCAAAACCAGTTGTCACCAGTTTGGGGGGTGAAAATTGATGCTGGACTTAAATTTGATGCTCACATCAACTCTGTGATCCGGTCGAGTTTCTTTCATCTGAGACGCCTTGCAAAAATCAAGCCTGTGCTGTCGACAGCCCACCTGGAGCGGGCACGCCATGCTTTTGTAATTTCTAGGCTTGATTACTGCAACTATGCAGGACTGGGTCAATCATCACTGCGCCGCCTACAGGTTGTGCAGAACAGCACAGCCAGGTTTCTGACTGGGACCAGGAAACGGGACCACATCAGTCCGGTTCTGGCCTCACTGCACTGGCTTCCGGTCTGTTATCGTTCACACTATAAACTCCTCGTCTTTGTTTACAATTTCTTCCAGGGTGGTGCTCCCCCCTATCTGGTCACGCTCCTGAACAGACATTCCCCATCACGCGCTCTGCGCTCCTCTGACCACAGAACATGCTCGCTGTCCCTCGTTCTAGGTGTCGTACTCGTGGGGACCGGGCTTTCTCAGTCCTAGCTCCGTCACCCTGGAACCAGTTGCCACCCTCAGTCAGGCTATCCCCATCTCTGCCAGCCTTTAAGAGTCACTTAAACACCCACCTCCTCCGCATGGCGTTCCCTGAATGTGTTTGAGTTAGGCCTTCGTTTATGTTGATTTTAATTCCCTGCTTTCATTGGTCTCTTTATCTCTTGTTTTACTCATTTGTTTTCTACTTTAATGTTTTTACCTTTTTTTGTCATGTACCGGGTTCAGCGCCTTGGGCTTCCCAAGGCACTTTATAAATAAAGCTTTGATTGATTGATTGATTGATTGATTGATTGATTGATTGATTGATTGATTGATTGATTGATTGATTGAAGTGTTTTGTGTAGCCAGTGCACATTTATGGATTGGCCCTTCAGGTGTACATTTTATGGGATTTAATGAGCATAGAAAAGGAAACAGAACTAAACTGGAGCTCAGATCTTTTTAAATCATTACATGTGATGGACCATGCTGTTTTAGCCTGTAAGAGCCAGTAATCAAATGCAAATAGATACAGAAGATCTGTAAAATGAATTAGCTCTGAATCTGATTTAAAGTGGACCGACCGAGAAGACCTGAGCAGCCACGACGCCACACTAATAAAACAGTTGCTTCTGTCTTCAGAGCTTAGCGAAAACACTGCACAGCTACATCGAGTTTGGCTTCCTGCCCATCCCCCTCCCCTGTCTGCAGTGCTGACGCATCTGTTGCCTTTGCATCAATCAGCAGCCGCTATATAAGTATACCCAGAATCCCCCACAGAGATCAGGACTCTCTCAGGCTGAGCCAGAAAAAGCACCAGTTAACATCTGTCCTGTGGCTGCTGTGCTGCCAGTGCCACCTCCTCTTTGCTCCTACTTTAACCACAGCAACTGCGCATGCACAGGCGAAGGGCTTTGGTGTGATTTGCTGCTGCACAGGCAGAGAGTGGGCACAAGCTTGAAACAGACGTTGTGACGTTATTTATTTAAGATGCATATTCTTTCTGAGTAGGCTTTTGGGGTTTTATTTTAAGCAAAGCATTTTCTCATAATCATCCAAATGCATCTGGCTTGTGCAGTACAGGGGAGCTGTAAGACAGCATCTGTTGTTTATTGGTCGACTCCTTACTTTATGTGCCGATAGCAATGCAGCCAAGCATCTTTCCCTGACGGTGGAATTGAGAAAAGAGCTGATGTGTGGTGCAGAACCCCACATTACTCCACTCTCTCCCTGTAGCCCTCTGCAATGCTTAATAAAAGTTGTCGTTTCCTGCTTCATAGCTCCAGAACGAAAGCGTCAGTCGCCCAGCTAGTGCAAAGGCTGACACATACTCCGATTTAGCTACATCCTGCACGAGCTGCAAGCTATTCCCATAGTGTTGGTGGTGTAGGACAGAAGAGGGACAGTCAGAGGAGAGAAGAGCAGTTCTAGCCCAGGACCTGGGCTGCATGGATGCTGAAGCTGGTATCATCTGCACACCGAGAGGGAGGGAGAGGAAGAAGGACGTCAGAAAAAGCTCTGCTTCTAACAACATCACTGTTCAGTGACCCTCATAGAAAAAACACTTTCGCCTTGCTCGTACAAAACAGGCTTCTTTCTGTACAGTTGGTTCTCCGTTGAGCTTTGGAAAAGGGCAACCTGCATGACATTGTTTCCTGCTGGCTGCGCATCATTTTCTCACATTTACTAAGGTACGTTTGGCACGCTCTCCTTCTGACTGGTCTATTTTTCTAAATATTTGAAAATTTTCTATCACGTTTTGCAGAAGTGTGCTGTGCAGAGGTTCGTGAAGTGGCTTTTGCTTTGTTCGTGAAGTGGCTTTTGCTTTGAGAGTTTGCTCTCTGTTTGACAGTCTTTTCTATGTTCTGGTTTGTGGCTGATATGTGGGGATTTTTACTTTCCAGAAAAGAAATCTTAAAAAGATTTCTTCTTTTTGCTTTGGCTTTGAAGGTAAACTAAGGCTGGGTGTGGCAAATTCATAAGCTCGATTAACAAATTCAGAATTTCCGCTCAGCATATGGCGGCAACAAACCACAACAATCGATCTAAAAGCTGAAAAACAAAAGTTTCTCACTGAAATAGACCCCTAGCACGAATAGAATGAGAATGTTCCATGCATAATAGAATCAAAAAAATCATATATGTTTGCTACATTACTTGCTGCCATGATGGATGGGGAAGTCCATTTTGTGCTGCACACAGAGACAGACTAACACACACACACACACACACACACACACACACACACACACACACACACACACACACACACACACACATTCATGCAAAGACAAAAGCAAACCTCTAGTGCTCTGCAGACTGCTGTGTGTTGCAGGTTCCCAGAAAGGGCAGGATGTTTGCGCAAAACACTGACGACTGATACAGTCAATCGCCATCCAGCAGTATCCCAATAAATGCTGCGCCATAGCATGTTGCCATGACAACAGAGGCCTGTCTGAGGCAAAAAAAAAGCAGGAGGGCAGTTATGTGTTTAGCTGCCAGACAGAATGTTAAGATTGGCGGCCATATTGTATTTTTGCACAGTCACAAAATTACACTGAAAGTAAAGTCTAATTTTATTATAAATTCAGTAAGATGCTTTAGTTACAATCATCCAGTATTTAAACATTTCTGTTTGTTTTTAAAAGACAGCAAAAATCACAAGACTCTGAGTTACCAAACAGAAGTGCATCCTAATTTTATGGAAGTAATAATAATCATATCAATCTGATGTTAAAGACAGATATATTGCTGTTGCTGTGATGATCTGAGAGAACAATTTTGCAACTGACACATTAAATATAACATTTTTTCTATGTGAGTAATCATTAGCCAATAGACGAGCATTAAAGGAAACAATAAGAAAAGTGAAAACAGACCTTTTGCATAGTAGTGGTCCAAACGTGGTGATTCACTGAGTGAAGTGTGCTTTACCAGATGTAGTCTGCATGCTGGGAAAGGTGACTCAGTGAGAGAACCTCACACACATCTTATTTTGACTTTGTCTTATTTCCATCAATTTGCTGATTGTACACTTCAAAATAAAATACTGTATACTGATTAAAAGGTTTGTCTTAAAAATATGTGTAAAAGTCGACATGATGGAAGCGTGTTCCAGTTTACAGTGACTGAATAATTATGATTAAAATGCCACCAGAAATTGATTTTTTCCTTTTTAAAGCACAAGTGCTAGAAATGATTTGAATCTCACTGGCTAATATTTCCCCATCAATAATTATTAGTTGTTTATAGATTATAGCAACCTTTTGTGTCAAAAAGAAGAGCTTCACTAAAAAATACCAATAGTCATCATCATCCATTTAATTTTTTTTAATCAATAATTTACTGCAAATTTTTTTGTTGTTAAAATTCTTTTCCTAAATTTTTAGATCAACCATCTTAACCCTTTCTTGGTAAATTATTTTAAGTGAATCCAAAGAGCAAAAAAAAAATTAATTAATTAAATGAGCAAAAAACAGAGATATCAGTATTAATTATACATTATGTGTCACTATATTAAAGACTTAAAGCAGCTTTACGGCGTTTTCCCCTTTCAGCAAGTATGTATGATTTGTCAGAAATCATTTAAAGTGATTATCTTATGTACTGTAATATAATGTAAGCAATACATCTTTTTTTTTTTTGTTAAGCACGCTCCCTGCCCCGCAGAGCTCCGTGCAATAAGAAACTGAGCGCCGACCAGAACTAACCAATAGCGTTAGACTACCATTTAGATGCTTCAAATTTAAGGAATACCTTGGCTGATGCTGAGTTAATGAACTTTTTACGGACAAGTAAGTCTCTAAAATATAAATATATGACAACACAACATGACAAGAGAATAATAGTATTTGTAAAACAACGTGTTTCAGCACTCTTCGTCGGCTACAGAAGCACATTTATAAACAGAAACGTGAAGTCGCAATCTTAATAAAACAGAAGGAGTGTGATATGCTTGTCAGCCACTAGATGGTGCCATCGGATAAGAGAACTCCGGAAACAAGCTTTAATGTTGTTGTTTCTGAATGTGTCGTAAATTAGCAACAACTCATTTTGCACATTAGGCCTTTTTCATATTACGTCACTAAAATTTAACAGTATGGTGAGATGTTTTTTTATGCATTCTGGGGAGATTTAGTTCAAAATTGGGAAGTTTGATGTTGACAGTCTCAGGCCCTCTATTATATTCTCTTACAGTTGAAAACCAGAAGATTTTTCTCTCAAACACAAGTTCATCTGCACTGATTAATACTGTGCAACTAAAAATACCTTAACGAATTATTAATTCCTATTTTAACAAAATTGAAATAGATTTATATATGTTATATGCAAAAATCCATAATGGAAAAACAAATCTCAGATCTGTTCATCTGTTCTATATATTTATTTTTCAGTAGAGTGTAGTTTCATTATCTGACATACGTGATTTAACTCTGAGTGTGTGATCTACTCTTTTTGGTTGAAAGTTGAGAGGAGTTGGTTTATAGTTTCCTTCATTTACCAGAGTTGCTGAACATTGACTGGAAACCATGTGTTGAAACTTTACTGCCATCTAGTGTTAAAACTTGAGAATGTTCTGATGTTCCATGAGCACATTCAAACTTTAGGTTTCTTAATTTTTTTTACCATTTAAATGTTCTAATGGCATGTTTTTTCTCTCTCTCTCTTTTAGATGCCTGTGACGTCCTGATATCTCAGGACCTGATGGATAGCACACACCCTTCCACAGTGCTAAGCAAGCTTAATGAGCAGCGCTCACAAGGTCTTTTCTGTGATGTCACCATTGTAGTGGAGGATGTGAAGTTTCGGGCCCACAAGAACGTCCTCGCAGCATGCAGTGGATACTTCAAGAATGCTTTGACAAGTTCAGACACATGCAGCTCAGGTCAAGTGCTTGAGCTTACAGACCTAAAGTCTGAAGTGTTTGCCAACATCCTCAACTTTATATACTGCTCAAAGGTGACATCACTTAGTGGACAGGACACCGGAGGGCTTATAGCAGCTGGGAAAAGACTTGGAATTCCCTTTTTGGAGAAGTTCACAGAAGAAGAAAAGCTAGATGAGTGTGTCGTGTCTGAAGACTTTTGCACAGCCCTTGGGTCAACAAAAACCAAGAAGGAAGCATCTAGACCTGAAGAGACAGACAGTACCAGAGGGCCTCGTATTACTAATGCCTTCTCTATTAATGAAGTGTGTCTTGGCAACAATGCCTTCACTCCTCTGGTTCAAAACAATAAAGAGCAGCAGTCTCCAGACGTGGGACAGCTACCGACATCCAGCATCAATGGGAACAATGAGAATATGCATACCCTCTCTGAACACTCATACGCTGTAAACAAATCCTCTGAAGGAAAAGACAGCAGTCAGTGGGACAAGAAGATCTGCAAGCCTGTATTACAGTCAAAGCAACTCCTTTACAGGAACACAGGCCCACTTAAAAAAAGACACAGATTGAGAAGCATTTTAGGGAGAAATATACTTCCAAGGCCAGCAGAGCTACAAACTGATAAACGAAGCACAGGAGCCCATGAAATATCTAATGGTGGACTTCTAACTACCATGGCCCCACCCCCACTTTTTTCAGAGGCAGAAACAGAGAAAGTAACAGACACAGGGCTACCTGCAACCACTGATAATAGAGAAATGGAGTTAGGTCCACCACCCCTGCCCCCTCACACAGAGAGCATATCAATTTATAGCTGTGACCAGTGTCCAGAGTTATTTTCCAGTAAAGCTCTTCTTACCATTCATTCAGAGGTCCATAAAAAACGTTTTGTTAGTCATTTGTTTTGCAAGTTTTGTCGCAGAAAATTTATACACCTTAAACGGCTTCACAACCATGAGCAGGTTTGCCCAAAAGTCTCACAAGGCTCACCCAAGCTGCATCCCAGGGATTTATCAGCCAAAGACATGGACCAACAGTCAGATGACAGGCCAGAAATGGATGGCACTTTGACTCAGCTTCCTTCTCCAGACCTCTCTAACCCTTCTGCAGATCTCCCTAGTCCATCTGCAGACCTACCTAACCCTTCCGAAGACCCATCTAACCCTCATATGCCAGATACTATTAAACTTGACCAACCAGGGCATCTGCAGAAGGAAAAGACAGTGAGGCCAAGTGTTGGACAGAGGAGATACAACTGCAGGGTGTGTAAACGGGTTTACGTCACCCTATCTAGCTTGAAGCGACATGAGAATGTGCATTCTTGGCAGAGGGCCTACCCCTGTCATTACTGTAATAAAGTATTTGCTTTGGCTGAGTATCGTACAAAGCATGAAATTTGGCACACAGGTGAACGTCGTTATCAGTGCATTTTCTGCCTGGAGACATTCATGACATATTATATCTTGAAAAACCATCAGAAGTCCTTTCATGGCATTGATCCTAATCTGTCTGTTAGAAAAAAATCTGCCAGCGGTGGGCTGAAAGCCAGTGTTTATCCGATCAAGCTCTACAGGCTTCTGCCCATGAAGTTTAGAAAAAGACAATACAAGACGTACAGCCAGACATTCGGCGAAAGAGGGGATCCATCCTCACTGGAAAACGATTCTCTTATTCCTCCATTTGAAGAAAATGGTCTCATCAGCAGCCCTGACACTACTACTTTCCCTCTAACATTCATGGCAACGACAAAGATCATGTCCTCTGTCGTGCCTCGCATCTACTTTGACAAACCATGCGACCAAGATACGGTCCAAACTCCGAACAGTGATTTGGAAATGAGGGGAAGCACAAGACGAGTGGGTGAAGACAAGGATCCACTTTTTCACAGCCATGACAGTGTCTTTGTTGTGCAGCCAAATTCTGAGTCATCTATAGGTTACAATGATGATCCACCGATGCTAATCAACACAGACCACATTAGTAATAATGTACCATTCCTAAATTCTCTGAGCACTGTTAAAAAGTTAGGTGAGCTGTCAGCTTCTGCAAAAAGAGTTGAAGAGATGACCAAGGAGATACTTCAATCAAGCAGAGAGAGACTGAGGTGTAATAAAGTGATAGGGACAAAAACAGAGACATATATTGCCAAACCTGCATGTCAGGGTCCTTCTTTGGAAAATGACTCCATGCCACTGTGTCAGATAACAGTGAAAATCGGAAATGAGGCCATTATTCGTCGCAAAGTCAAAGGATCTAAACTCTTTCGCAGGAAGACAAGGAAAACAAGGATTAATGAGCAGAGTCCAAACCATTGCACTCCATCAAGGGAACACTCAGAGAGTCCCAGACGTCGCTTTAGACAAGACGTTTCTGCCTCCAAAGAGCCAGAGATATATGAGGACACCAATGACTGTGACACAGCTGATCAGCTTTGGCGTCCCTACTATTCTTACAAAGTCAAAAAGAAAAGAAAGAAACACAGATACAAGCACAGAGAAGATTTGCTTTATCAGTTTCCTGAATCTGTAGAAAGAATTGCTGCCGGTTCAGCCCATCTTGATAGGACAAATTTTCTAGCAGAGGAGAGCAACTCAGGAAGTAATGCAGGGGTGAAACATGGTCTCAGTAGGGACTTCAACCCCAGGGCCAACTATAACTGTGACATCTGTGACAGCTCTTTCATCACTGAGACCGGACTGAGAGCTCATGTGATTGGTTCCCACCCATACTTCTGCCGAACTTGTGGCAAGCAAGGTCCTCCTGGTGAGGCACCTTCTAGTGGCGACTACATTTGCAAAAGCTGCATGGAGAATGGCTCCTGCTTTGACAACACGCCCCGAAGCCCCAACCCAGAGAAAAAATACCGCTGCTCCTTCTGTCCCCAGAGGTTTTTGTATCTCGCCACCAAGAGAAGTCATGAGAAAAGGCACCAAGCAGAAAAAGAGGAAAGTTGCAAATATGATGCCATCACATCAAGTTCTAAGTACTCAGCACACACAAAGAAAGACAATGAACAAGGTGCCACCAAAGTAGAGGACAGGGACAATGAAGAGGACATTTACATTAAACACGAAACCACAGAAGACGAAAAATTTCCATCTGATAATATACTTAAAACCAAGGAGGCAACTGACCAAACATCTTTGACCATCTATCCAGACGTGTCACTTTCTAGAATTAAAGGTCCATTATCACCGAGATTGGATTCACCGCCTGATTTGACATTCTCCTCAAAGATCAAGCATAAAGCAATGAAAAGGAAGACAAACACACATCATTCTGTGTTTTTAAAACAGCAGGACAGTGACAGAGACAATGACAGCAACAAGACAATGTCAATGGGACCTAGAAAACACAGTTGTGGAAATTCTAGCAAAACATTTGGGAGGAATGATTCTGAACCTAAAAGTACGCAATTTTCAATGCACAAAGTAAACAAACTGGTATTCAAAGATGAGCCCTTTTACTAAGATATTTAGAACTAAAACCAACAAACAAGAAAGTAAACACATTTGAAGTCAGGTTGATGATATTGTTGTGAAAGTTTTGCAAAATAGTCTTTTGGAGATAAATACAATGAAGTGTTTTAAAAGGCAATACTAAGAATGAGAATGTAGCATCAGTCTTCTGAGATCTTACCTTTTCTAAACCCCCGTTTAGGACCCAGTGATTTTTGCTATTTATGTTCCTTTATAGAGGATATTTGGTAATATAAGGTCATCTGACACAAACTGTATTTTGTTCTTTAATCTATGCATGTAGAGCAGTGCAATAACAAATCAGCATTCTCAACACAGATAACTGATCGATCGTGGTCACATCTAGACTTTATTTTAAGTAAGTCTGGATAAAACTAGAGCTGTTTTCTGCTGTCACATTGTTGTATCTCCTGTTCAATTAACCTAACTTTGTGAGTTGCACTTTATAGTATACTGATTTGTTCTTTAATACTTTGATAGATACATTTTTATTCTAAACACCACTGATGTAATTTGACTTTTTACCGAATGCATAGAACCATTATAACATGAATTTTACCTTTTTTTGTTTATTATGTATAAAATTGTAAATCTATTTAAATTAAAATTGTATTAAGAACAGTTAAATTGTGTCCTTCTTTACCACACAGCTTAGGGATAGTTATCCTACTGACACTGAAACGCATAGTACTCACAACTACAGATGCACCAATCTGTTCAAATGTTGACATTTAATTGCAGAAAGATTCAAATTGCTAAATGTCTTGAGGCATGTTTTCACAAAAACCCTTTTCCACAGTAACAGTTTTCCTAATATGAAGCCACATGATGGATATCTGTTCCTTTAGGGACCTGGAGCCCTTCTTAGAAGTTCATTTCTTCTTTGTTTCACATCTGTGTTTGGCCTCCAAACTCACTTTCCAGATGTTTTTAAATCCCTTGCTTCTGTCTAGGACTAGGGTTATGATGCAGCAATTTTTCACTGTCCTGCTAAACTTATCAGTAATCCCATGCAGGTAAAATTTCCTCCTAGTTCTTAACAACTCTGATTTAATTTTCTGCACCTGTACAATGAAAGAACACTGACTGTTGGTTTAATTTTGATTATGTGGGCAATAATTAAAGGTGGAATATGGAGCAAGAACACCAAAGCACCATCTAGTGATGAGGTTGTAGTTACAACAATAGAACAAGGTTTCCAGTCATCGGGATACCAGGTTTGCTGCTGATACGTGAAACTTGTATTTAGGTCCATCTTTTGAAGGCTTCACCTAAACTCACTCTGCTTTTAGATCGCTCCTCTTCTGAGAAGGATAACGACATTTTCTGGGCTCAGAGGCAGCTGCTTGGCTTACTGAATCAGCCATTTTCCACAGTGCCAGCCTCACTGTGCTAAGCAGACTGGTGACTCACAATGGTGCCCTCTATTGGCTGAAAGATGTAAACATAAATCCAGTGTTTTGTCTGTTAAAATAAATTTTTGATTATCTTTTTTTATTACATTATGGCTTTGAAAGGAAATATTGTAACATCATTATGCACACCTCTAAACCCCCCGTGGATGTATTACTTTTTTAAATATAACTTTTCATTAAATTGTTTCATATTCAATCTTTAAATTAAACACTACTTTTAGGTATGTATTACATGTCCAAATTAGAAGTAAATTTTCAGTAACATAACATATCACTTTAGACGGTAAATGCTGAAGGGGGCGCACTCTCACTGAAACAGTTAACAAAGAATCATACTTATACAGGTATATAAATAATGTCCACCACCAAGCATTATGCACAGTTATAGCTTTTGCAAGACATTTGCATGATTTCAGAAATGTTCCCATTACTCACTCTGACCAGATTGTAGATCAGCAGGGTCCTATAACGGGTCCATATGTGAACACCTGTTCAGGGAAAAACCTGGAGGGAAAAATATGATTTGTTCATGTTATTCTATATATTTAAAGATTTTTCAACCAATATTCTTGTGAGATGAAACTTCAGGTTTTCTGAGAAAGGGGACTATTTACTGACAAGCATACATATATGGAGTTTCTATAGAATCCACCAACATGTGCCTGATGCCAAAAAGCATCTTCTCCCACATTTTAGCAAACAGGATGGATTTATGATATTGGAATCTATGTTCAGCTGTGCTTTTTTTTTTTACTAGAAAAATAAAAGTACAGCTTAGTATTTTCTCTAGGTGTTAAAGGGGACATATTATGCAAAACTCACCCTTTGCATCCTTTTTTGCTGCCATGTGCGTCTCAACTGTCTGTAGACACTCTTTGTGTAAAAAAACTCCATCCATTTATTTTCTGTCAGTGTTTGGTTTTAAGAACTATGATCCTTAAACAAGCCATTTCAAAAAGTCCCTGTTTGTGACAAACAGTGAAATTAGAATAGAACCACCTCTCATATGTAAGGGACAGCCGCTGCTGGAGGAGCAATGGCTCTACTCCAAGCCCCTCCCAGAAATTGGAGCTTCTTAGCTAATAGTAGCCTGTGTGGGGGAGTGGTGGGCGTGACCAGCACCAGCTTGCCCTGAAACAGCTCATTCAGAAAGGTACTGAAACTGTCCAGAATAAAACTGCTAAAATTGTCTTATGTAAGAGATTTTGTGCAAACATCTTCATGAACATGTTTTGAATCAACCATAGAACTAATATAAATTAAGAAATAAGTCATAATATGCCCCCATTAACTTATGCAACAATTTTCAAATGTACTATGTATAATTTATGTCTCATACTAATATCATTTAAACAGTTAAATCAGAACTGTGCATTTGGATGCTCTCGTTATCTCGTTTACACACTCATCTTCTAATCTGCTTCTTACTGGGAGATGGTGCCTAACTCCAGCATTCTTTGGGTGAGAGGCAGGTTGACACCTTGGACAGGATGCCAGTCCATCACAAGGATGCATTGAGACAACCTTTTACTCACTCACGTCTAGTGGAAATTTAGTCTCCAAAATGCAACATAACATGCACATTTTTGGTCTATGGGAGGAAACTGGAGTAAAACCCACACATGCATGGAGAATGCATGCTAACTCTGCGCAGAAAGGCTGCAGCTGGCATGTACACCTGGGACCTCCTAGCTGCGAGGCAACAGTACTGTTGCCACCATGCATTCCTGCATTTAGATAACTTTGCAAAACTGTTATCCTCTCATTAAGTGCAAGGCCAAAGGCCACCTCTGGCCCTCGGTCAATGTTCAATAAGCTATCGTTGCATAAACAAAGTTAAAACGCTACTTTTTTTGTACCTCGAACGTATCCATGACCACTCATGATAACTATGCTAAACACACTCCCTAATAAAAAGACCTGAAAGATTTTTTTCCTAACACAAATGCCTACCCACCCCACCTCCCTGTTCACTCTTCTAAGCGCTCATCCAGCTTGAAGCACAACTTGTTTTGATTAAAATTCACTTGTAGCAGATTATCAAATTTTCTAATTTACTTTCACTGATGGGCTTTTACAAAGATTAGTTTGTGATGCTAAAAGTTAAAATGTGTTTAAGTTTCCAACTTTGCTGAACAAAAACAAAGTCTATCACTTGTTTCCTAACAGGATGGTTTATACTTTCAAATGTGAACCCACAGTTTCCTAAACTGAGGAAATGAATTGTAAATAGTGATGCACTGATATGAAATTCTTGGGCCGATACCGATATCCGATATAAAGATCACCGTTATAGCCAATAACTGATATTTGCCTATACCGACATACTGACATTAATGCTTCTGAAATCAGCAGATTTTGTATTCAAATTCAAAGATACTTTATTAATCCCAGAGGGAAATTAGAGTTTCAGTACACACAATTCAGAGAACAGACATACATGGGCAAGACACATGACAAGAATTGGTGACTGTGGTCATTCGCAACCCTGAGTCGCTCTACCTTAATAGAGATGAGGGTTACATGAGGATTGGTTCAGGTGGAGGGAAAAAAAGGCACTTCTGAGTAGGGATGGGTAACGAATTCGGTACTTTTTAAGGTACCGACCGAATTCCACAGTACCGACCGAGCACCGATTCACTTCATTTGAAACGGTGCCTCGTTTCGGTACCCGTCCTTCACAACGAAAACTTGCCTAGACAGCTGAGCATGCGCAAGAGTGTTACATCATCGGTCGCTGTGAACGAGTTGTAAACAGAGCAGCGTAATAGAAAGAACGAAAGCTAAAGCTTGGGTCCACTTCACTAAATGTGATGGGTAACTGGGTGATGATGAAACCAGCGACAACGATCTAAGTGAGACATCCTCATCTTAATCTGCTCCGGTAGGTGAATAAAATGTTTAAGATAACGTTAGCTTGATATGTTAGCTTCCGTTTCACTAATGGTGCGTTCGCTTTCTCCTCGGAACTCCGAAATTCCGACTAGAAGAACATGAACGCGCTCTAAAGTTTGGCTTCACTTTACTAAATGTGACGGGTGATTGAGTGAAGATGAAACCAGTGACAACGTTTTGAGTGTGAGGCATCATCGTTTAAATTTGCTCCAGCAGTTAAATAAACTGTTTAAGATAACATTAGCTTGATATGTTAGCTTCCTATGCCACCATTGTTATCATCTAATGGTGCGTTCGCTTTCTCCTTGGAAATTCTAACTTCCCAGTAAGAAAAATCAATTGAAAAAGGACGGTAAAAGGAATGAAGATACACAGTAAATTTAGTTCACAGTAAAGATGTTTGCTTCAGTTTAATTATCAATTTATAAAAGTACAAGGACAATGTTAAAATACAAACAGTTGTATGTTATTTATAGTGATATTTATCAAATATGGTTATACATTGAGAAAAATATATATTTCTTTATAAAAGAGAATTAAAAATATTAAACACTCAAAAGTATCGAAAATTGGTACCGTTAAGTACCGGTATCCTGCTTCTTAGTTACCCTCCACCGGGAGGGCAGCTTTGCTCTGCAAAAAAAAAAAACACCTCAGACAGAAATGCAACAGACTTCAGACAACACAAGTGTTCACTAGGTGGGGTGGTGGGTTTGGGACTCTCCACACTTCAGTTCCTGCAGCCACTACAAGCAGCGCATGTCACCTCAGTCTGAACAGGGGGAGGAGCATTGAGGGTTGGAGGGTTGCAGTGACCCTGGGACGATTCGGCAGCCTTCCCACAGTCCCGCCCAGGCTGGAATAGGAGACAGAGTTGAGTTTCCATAGCGACAGCACATTCCACATATCTTCTGAGGGGGGAGTTTTCGTTGGAGCCTTGCAGGCTCAAGGGCACCAGATTCCGATTAGAAATTGTTTTGGGGCCAGACAGAGATAATTTCCTCTCTGTCTTACAGTTTGTTGGTCCTCAACCTCTCAAAATCCCAATAATGGACATTAATCTATCCCAATCCGTGCTGATTTGTCCACTCTATCCTTGATGGCATCCATCTTTTGTGCCAATGAATGAATCTCGGCCAAAGTTCCAAGCTTACGATTCATCTTGACAATTATGTAAGTCTGTGAATTCACAGCTCGGTGCAAACCATCTCTGATCTCCGGGAGCAGGCCAATATTCCTCGACAGCTCGTTAATTTTCCGGTAAGCCAGGAAGTCTCCAAGGCCAATGAGCAGGAAACCTGACACCAACACCAAGAATATCCACACGTCTTAAGAGTCCTCCACAGACAGCTGAGATAAACAAATCAAGTTTCACTGTTTCCAGGAGTCCATGATGTGTCCAACTGGGTCTGTCCCGGAGGGGCATCCGGGAGCCCCTGCTCCCGTTCTCATCGTTGAAAAAATGTTATCAATCGCGTTGAGTGACCAACTGACGAGGTCCATTTTAGTGATTTCAGTTTACAGTTTCCAGAAAAAATGCAGAAGCAGACGTGCACCCAGCACACAGAGACAAAGGGCCTTGAGGATAAGATATGGAGGAGAGGTGGAAAAAAGCATCTGCACCCTCCGAGAGCCGGAAGAAGATTCTTTCTCCACCCAGAATGTGTCCTCTCTTAAAGGTACACGTTCTGATACAAGCATTCACCCACAAACAAAACACACTTCACCTTAGATTAATCCAAACACAGGGTTGCTTTTTATTACCAAAGTTTTTATAAATTGTCTTTTATAAATTGTCTCTTAAATTGTCATGTTTTAAATTGTTTAGTAATAAATTTCTTAACCTTTTTAAACTTGACTCTTTCTTGAAATAAACACAGAGTGGGTGTATATTAATCACTGAACAAGCAAAGATCTTTAGATCTTCTGAATTAACAAATAACTTTTGCTATTAAATTAAATCTTTAAAAAAATAAATATAATCTTTTGATTAACATAGACCAAGCAAGCTGATGTATGAATTGTTATCTATTATATATATATATATATATATATATATATATATGCATGTAAATTTCATTTGTCAATATGTTTGATCTTCTTTGGAATTAAAACATAAGCAGATAGCAACAGCCTTTAATTCCTATATATGTAGTTCATTAACCCTACACACATCATCCTCCTCACCCTCTGAAACAGGCAAACAAATGGAGATGAGATGGAAAAAATATTGGTTGATAAGATCGGCCTGGTTTTATCTATCAACGCGATAACGATATTTTAAAAAATAGCTAACACCGGCCGATGCCGATATTGATGCCGATATATTGTCCACCCCTAATTGTAAATCTTTGTATACTGATTTACCTAAACGAAGCCTAGGCAGTTTTGGCTTGCTTTTAGCACCCCCTAGTGTCCTGTAGAACCAAAACCAAAACTGTGAATTCACCTTTTTAACACCTTAATCCAGCAGCTGAAATGTCTCCCAAGCCTTCATTATTATCTACAGGAGCACTTTGTCACTAAATTAAACAAAGCAGATTTGTTCATGATCTAAATCATGCAGGAAACATGCCGGAAGGAGACTACAGCTCCATTTTTTTCTCAAACCAAAAGACCTGGGCAACTCTGAAGTTGCAAATGCAATTTTCTGGCCGCAGGGGGCGATAGGGGCTGGATAGCATTTCATTAAACCTGAAAAGGGTCATTTTAGCACAAACTGGCTCAAGAAAATGATTTAAAAATAAAGTTGCATAGTGTCTTTTTAAATGAATATAGATGTGTTTCTCTGATTTATGTTTATTTTGATACCAGGTGTAAATTCACCCCACATGAAAAAAATGCTAATCACACAAAATGCAATTAATGGTTTCATTAAGGATTATTCCCATAGATTATTCAATTTTGCGATAAAAATCAGACACTTGGGCTTGTGACGATTAAAGCAAGGAGGCTATAACACAAAACTAACATTGCACACTTAAAATAAACCTTTAAAATAGTCTCAAAAATTAATTTAAATACAGAAAACAAAGCTATAAAAACTACAAAACTAAACAAGCTGACATTTTTATTTGAATAATGTATAATTAAACATCCATAGTTAAAAGTGTTTCGTCCAAGTAGGACTATAAAATGTCATTTTAGTCACCTCTTGGGTGCTTTGCGTCATTTTTCTGATAATATTGCAGAATAACATCAAGGGAAGTGGATCTTTGCCTTGAAGGAAGGGTCTCAGCTAGCTCATTCATAATGTGCCAGTGACTACTGACGCGCACATGAGCGTGTGTACACCGGACACGGGTCACTTCAGCGTTGGTGTCAGAGGTTAGCTAGCGCAGCTAGCGCTACAAGTCCCAGTCTGAGCACCGAAAGCGCAGTTGTATAAGACACCTCACCGCAGACACTTAAATCCTTTCAAAAGCCTTTGCAGCTACAGTCTGACGCAAAGCGACACTAGAGGAAGTGTTGTGTTTTGCCAAATGTTTCAAGGCATCCGTTTTTTACGAGACCTGACGTGACGCGGCGGTGGGGCTGGCTTTCCTCCACTCTGCCTGCATTGATAAACGGATATGATGATAAAACAGCGCTGAATGCAGCGGAGCAGCAACAACACTCAGCTCTGACCATGGCGGAAGAGGACGACGCTAAGATTCGGATTTTACAGAGTCTGCGGGGTAAAATATGTAAGTGCGACTGACTAGGTTGTCGTTGCGTCTCACGGGGGCAGTGAGGTTGGTAGACAAGCCGACCAGCGAGATGGTAGGAACCCAAAGGGGCGCGGCGTGCTATCAGCAGCCGACAGTGTGAAGGCAGAGACGGACACTAGAGCTCTGTTGCCTGCTGGTGTCTAACGTCAAGTTAGCCTAGCATGCTAGCAGAAGCTGCTGGCTTGTTATACATTGCTCCGGCTTAACCGCTGTCAGTTACTTTCTTTACAATAGTACAATAATTAACTTAAAAACGTTGCTTATTTTTGTTGAGCTCAGCTGCTACGTGAGCTCATTTAAGGTTGGCGACAAAGTACAGCAGGCTACTATCAACTACAGTCACTAAGCTAACCCATTCAGCTTTTAACGTTTGTCGATTGCAGGTGTTCTATTAAATGTAGCCCCTTCATTTTAAGACGTATAAACTGCAAGATTGTGGGACATATTGTAAATCTTTTGCCATAGTTCGTCTTATACTTTATTGATTATTATCAAAATACTGCCATATAGTATTTAAATACTGTCACATATCAAATTTGTAAAATTATTTCTGTATTTTCTTAAATGCAATAAATGACTGCATAAAACGTTCTAGAACACACAATAAAAAGTTTAGTAATGGTAAAAATAAGTATAGTTGTTGCATCTATTTTAAGTTGTATTTAATGTTGAGTTATTAAACTGAGCCTAGTCTCTACAAACTATTTTGTCACCCTGTGCACCATTATGGTTTGATCAAAAATAGAGTTCAGCTGTAGGGTCTTATCATTTGTCAGAATATTAACACACAAATAGGAAAGACAGCTATTTTAGAGGTTGTAGGATATATTTCAGCAAGCAATGCACAATCATTTATCTGGGCAGCACAAATATATCCCTATGTTAATGTGTGTAATCACAAAATACATGTTTAATTTTTGTCCAAGATGGATTTTGCTGCTTTGTCAAAAAATGTGAGACCCTTCTAATATTTTATGGTCCAAACTTAAACAGTTTGTCATTTAATAAACAAGGTATGTAGCAAATTTAATCATGCTTGTGAATTAGTTAACATGCCATGCCACTCCACCACATATTGATGTTTCAGGTTTTTTCTACTAGTATATTGGTCTCAGAAATAATGCAATTGGTTTTTAAACAGAAGGCAAATGCTGCAAATTTATAAATGTATCTGTAATGGAAATAACTTTTGACCAGAGATTATGTGCGATCTGAGCCTAAGAATATATAGCAGGGCTAGATTGGTCAAGTGGCTTGAACACGATTTATTTAGAGGGGAAAGGAATGCAAAAACTTTAAATGCACACAATAGGAAAGTAAATGTCAGTTTCACTACTATGAATTAATGAGAAAACGGTAAGCAGAACAAAATTGAGGAACTACAATGGCATGTAACTCACTTTGCCATCTTGCGAAACTCCATTCTTCCTCGTTCACATTTGGCCCTTTTTCTTTAAAGCATACATCGGTTAAGGTGGCACTTTCCGAAGTTGTGTTTTTAATTTGTCTTTAGAAGACCCGAGTAGTTGTGTGTATGTTTGCTCAGTTCAGACAGTAGGAAGTTAAATCATTCATTGTTTAGGTTTCTTTTCCTTTCATAGATTTATTTGGCTAAAATGTGTGTTTTTGTAGGGAAAAGTGACAACAGCAAGTTTTACGTGGTCTACATCCACTGGGCCATCTTGGTGTAAGTTTTGAGACGACCAGGCTGCTTTTCTAAAGTTAGCCATGCTTTATTATTATTAGTCTGCTAGCTGATCTTATCGATGGCTTTACTAAATGAGGTCCCTACCTGAGCTTAGCGAACCAATCTAAATTGGGTTAGACTAATTTAGACTCTGGCTGTCTCTTTAATCCATTAACCTAAAATGAACTAAGAAGCTGTATTAGAGCCGCGGTGCGGTCAACTCAAAGGCGACTCGTCAGGCGCTGATTTGGTGCTTTTATGTATTTGATCTGCTGCTCCCCCCCCCCACTCCTGGCGCATCATTTGTGTCTGCCTGCAAAGTAATGGAAGTGGCGTGTGTTACAAAGGTGTTTGCCATTTGTGAATCAGCGCTGTTCTGTCGCCATTGGTTATGCTGAGGAAGTCCATGTTTCATGTTTTCAACCACATATGAGCCTCAGCTCCACTTCAGCTACATCCGCTTTGCAGTTTGCCCCGACAACTGGCAGGAGCTCAAGTCCTCAAGTGAACAAAAAGGTGTCAAACATCAAAGTGTGTCGTTTCAAAGTGTTGTTGCTGTGGCTGATAGGATAGTGATAAGACTCTGGGTGTGCAGTCTGATTCAGTTCATTTATTTGATTTAGCTTTTGGAAAGAATAAGACTTGATTTTTTATTTTTCTACAGGTTGTCTGAGATAGGACTTTCTAATTGTTTAATTTAGCTGAAATAAGTTCAACAATTTCAAAATATGTAGATTATTATCTCAGAACTTTGTACAAATAAACCTACTAGAATGCTTGTTTAAAGGGAAAAATGCTACCTAAAGGTAACAGTATGGCTGGATATAATTAGTATAATACACATTTTTGTTTTTGGTACGATTTAGCTATTCAACTAGCAGGTTAACCACTTAGAGCACATTTTAGACCATGTTTCTTAGTGATGCATACAATACCAAAAACAAAACTATTCTATAAACTATGGGGATGTTTTAATATAAAGTTAGCCATTATTACCTTTCATTATAATATTTCTCTTATTGGCCCAAGTTAAAAAAAAGTCTTTTCTCGACATGTGGAAGTACAATGATGTTTGTATTGTTCAGCCAGGGAAATCTGGGGTTGCTTGGCTTTGGCATTATTATTTTGTAGTCCAGAAACTTAAACGTTTAGCAATCACTGCTCTACAATTTAAATAATGTGCTAAAGAAAATGTAGAGGCTTATTTTTTTACTTTAGAAATGTTGCTCTTATTTAGATATTTGTCAGAATATTAATGCTCGATTCCTCTTGATGTTGCAGGGGAAGCTAAGAACCTAGGTCCAGTTTCGGGTCCAAATCGACAAAAAGACCTCTGTACATTTTGCACCGTAAGTCTGGATCAGGAGGAAGTTTTCCGCACCAAAGTTTCAGACAAAAGCATCAGGTAAGCGCAACATCAGTTTACAAAGTATTTATAACAAACTGCACATCACATTGTCAAATGGCAAGCTTCATAAAAACAAATTAGATATTTTGACCTAATGCTAAGTGGTGGGTACTTAAGCCTAAAACAGAAACATGTCAACTGAAAAATATCGGAGATAAATGTCAGTTCACCACTAACGACCTTTATAAAATGTTATTGGCACATGATGATAAAACGCGTTGCGTGATAGAGCTGCGCATAGTGTATTACTGATTTTTGTCACAAACAAACTCGCTCCACAGCTCACTGATAACACGTAATACTGGTCAAACAATAAAAGAAAATCTAAACACCTGTTTGTTTTGAGTGAAAGCAAAGATTTCAGGTTCATTGTGTTTGTCATTTCTTCCACAAAGTCATTCTTTGAACTGGGTTGTGAATCTAGGTGTGTGGTAAACATGTGGGTCAGCCAAGGAAAAAGGTCGTAGGATTAGCTGCTCTTGGCTGCTAGCTGTCACTATTGGAAAAATATACCTCAATTGAAGATTTCTATTTTGGTTTTTCAGGTTGCTTGTTTTTAGTGTTAGCCATGTTTAGCGCATTAAATATAGAGTTTAATATTGTATTTTTATACATTTTTTATTTGGTTGGCCATTATTGTACAGTAAAATAAAAAAAAGAGACACATATATCACTATAGCTAATGAGATCAATCAAATGTAATGTTTCCAGAAAATATTCTAATATAAACCTTTAAACCTTCGCCAACACTTTAGTAACAATAAAGAGACAGTGTGTAGTTTTTACTGGACGTATTCATGAAAATGTTGCTGAAAATGTATTAAACGCTTCCCAGTTGTTGAAAAATATAGGCGTCTTCGTAACATATAACCATAAAAACCATTACATTACAAATGGTGGCGCTACAGAGTTAGCTTGCTGCAACCTTCCAGACTCACAGTTAGGGTGAGACTAATACTACTGGTGTGTGTGTGTGTGTGTGTGTGTGTGTGTGTGTGTGTGTGTGTGTGTGTGTGTGTGTGTGTGTGTGTGTGTGTGTGTGTGTGTGTGTGTGTGTGTGTGTGTGTGTGTGTGTGACTATGTCCCTCCTTTAGTTTTTTTGAAAAGAAAAAACTTGACTACCCAGGGCTGTACAGTGCGACACATGTTGCATGTTCAATGAAAAAAAACCTCAACAATTTTTTGACGTAGCACTTGTGCGACAACTCTTCAAGTTGTGTTCTCCAGAACTTTATTGAACAAAGTTCAGCAAAGGTAAGTTAGTTGTTTTTTGTGTAGAAGATGTGACAGGCAAAGCCACGGCATGCCACCATACCAAATAGTGGTTGTAGTCTATTGGGGTAACATGTTACCTTGTCAGTGTAGTTACTCTTATATTTTACTACAATTCCCACAATGCTTGCGTGTTCTTGCGAGTCTACTTGTATAAGGAAGTCATGGAGAGTATGCAGCTGCGGAGGCGTTCTAAGATGTGGCTTTGGCCGTAGATCCCAATCGGCTGATCTCTATGGAAAAACACGTGATCTGCAAATTGATCTACGTCATTCAGAGCCCATCAGTCATACCAGCTAATCACCTGTCTGCCGCGCCTACTTTGAAGCCCACACAGACCCTGAGTGCAGCATCACATCTCCCTCCCTTCCCTCACACTGTGCAGGCGGGGACAGTCAGAAGGCCGAGCAAATAACCTGTGAAATAGTTAGTTAGGGTGCTAGCATCAGCAGCCTTCCTCTGTGGTGGACGACACCTGGTTCGGCCCACTATGAGTCGCTACGGGTAATGAATAAATAAATAAAATTAAAATGATGATAATAAACATCAACACGCAAATTTGTGAGAATATTTTTTGCTCTGTTGAACTATTTAGTTTGAGAGTTTTACTGTTTAAAATCTGTTAGATTTTTGCTGACAACAGCTACATTTAGTTTCTGTTTTCCTTTTGACTGGATCGCTGCTGGCTCATTTAAAACGTAACGTTTTTGGACTCTGCCTTTCGAAAAGAATCTGAATTGATAGGAATCAAAATCAAAATGAGGAATCGGAACTGGATATGTTCTAATTCAAACGATGTCCAACCCTAGTTAATGGGTTTATGAACGACATTCTCTCGCTGTTCGAGAGCTGCAGATCTCTATGAAGCTAAAGCCTTAGCTAAAACACCCTGTTAACCATAGACTTTATAAAAAGTAGACCCTGCACATTTGGAAGTAGTGGTCAGTGCAACATCTACTCTTCAAATCTATGCTGCTGAGGACAGACCTCTGTAATGAACACATTTGACTAAATTAAAATGTTCTTTTTGAAATTACACAGACAAACATGTCTGAAGATATTTCTTGTTTTTGTGTTTTCATTGTATGCACTGCTAGTGTTTGTCAGTGTGTTGAAGTATTTATAAGAACTACTTTTGGTTTTTAGAGATTGTAACAGAATTGTTATGGTGGTGCTACAAGTTTTTGTTCTGTGCTACAAAACCTACAACTATGTAGCACCAGTGCTGTAAGCTAAAAACGTTTACGTACAGCCCTGCAAACCCCTGCTGGCTCACATATAATCTTTCCTTCAATTGTGATTGAGACAATTGACCATTTTGTGATCATTTCTCTGACATTCTTACATATTACTCCTTTAATTTTGGATTAAATTTAGGTTGTGTTCTAAATATATGGTAGGCATGTTAAGTGATTTTAATAAACCCCAGGCATGTTTGTTGCAATTTAAATGGTGCTAATATTACCATCTTACTGAGAGATCTTCACATTAGAAACACTAAATTCTCATTCCTTTTTAAAATTTGTGTCTGGAAAAAGTTGCTAATAGCTGTTTCACTACTGATTATGTACCATTTCTACTTGGTAAATGTGACATGATTTTAGACGGAAATGAGCTTAGCCAATAGTTTCATGGTCACGAGAAGTTCAGAAAAAGGTGTGGAAGGTTGGGAAACCATTCAGGTTTCTGTTTAGCCCCTTGCACCTTGTTGTAAACCCTGGCCCAACGTCTTAAGGTATTTCACAACAGCCCTTTTCCTTTTTGTGTTGCTCCCTTGTAGGTACTGTTCAAAATGATTTTACAGTCTCTGAGGAAGTGTGTCCTCCCACGCACTCCTCTGTCCTCTTGTGTGTCACACTCAACTACCGCATCTGCTGCTTAGCACATCTTTTAATAATCAACCATTTTCGGGACGCTCTTTTCTTGAATTTGCTTTCCGTAATGTCTGTGTAAAGGCTGTGTGGAAGCTCCAGCTGTGACTAATCCTGAGGATAAAGTAGGCATGTCAAAACAGCTGTGGTACCTGGTAGTTCTGTTTTAGAGGCTGGGATGACAACATAGAGTTTAATGAGTGTATATTTCAGTTTTTACAGAACAGGGGGTGTACTTACAAGTGCATATTTCTTTGTGATATTTGAGGAGGATGCGTGGGCGTACACACATGATGCGTTGGCCAACCCCAGTGTGGAAGTGTCAGGCAAGATATTTCACTGTTCAAATTGTATTGATTGCGGAGAGAAGCAGTATGAAATGTGGCGTTGGGTCAAACCTCCATTATTGGTGTGTCTGCTGATGAGGCCAGTTTCAGCTCTCACCTCAGTGTTTTCTGAAAGGACAAAATGTGTATCAAATACATGAAGCCATGGTAGCAGTGGGTGAAATGGTGATTCATCTACAGTGAAATCGTGATCTCAGTTTAAACATGGAGTTTAGATTTTCTTTTATTTATTTTTTTCATTTTAATTACTATTTAGTAACTACACTGTTTCTTTATGTATGAAAATATGAACAGCCAGAAGAGGTAAATTATGGCTTGCTATTAATAGTGATTGTGCTTTTTAATACATTTACTGGTAGGGATGGACCGACATGGATTTTTCTATTGCTGAAACCAGTGCTGATATAAAAAGGTCACGGTCAGTCGCTACTAGCCAGTGTGCACCGCTGTGTTTTTCTTTTTTTCCTTTGGCCAATATTCATGGCTGATATCTATACATTTTATGCCTTTTTTGCATTCTAAAATGTCACTAAAAACACCCATTTCCTCACCTTTGAACACTGAATTTAACCAACTCTTAATTTTATGCGCCGTATTAGTCAAACATTTAACCAAAGGTTAATCAAACAAATCATAACGTTGACCAATCATTAAATACAAAATGGGTAAATAAAATGAAATGTCCTTTGGCAGTAATGTTTTACAGCATTTATTAAGCATATTTTCTATGAATGTAAATTTACATGAAATGTTTTTTTTTTTTTACTAGCACAGAGGTGGCTGCGGAAGTGCCTGTTTTTAAATTGACCACTAAAGAGGTGTATCAGCCGATGCCAGTATTTAAAATATGGTAAATATCGGCGCAATATATCCAGGGCCGTTTCAAGGCATTTTGGGGGTCAAGGCAAAAATAGACCCCTACCAGGTATTTTAAGCTGAGGTGCCATTTGTTGTTATTTTTTATATTTGCTCTTGCGCTAAAGTCCACAAGTGAAGAGTTTACACTCTTATTGGATTGTTCAAGCTACCTCACAGAAGTGCTCTGTTTAACAGCATTGTTAAATGTTAAAATAAAGTTAAGCAATTAATTAAAGGGGCATTATGGAAGTTTGACAGCCAAAACATGTATAGAAATAATAAATTTCTTCTTCATACATTCTCCTGCAATGCCCTGGTCCTGTAGAATGAGCCCTGTCATTTTTACTGTGATTGCCTGTTTTTCTGTAAAATCACAGAAAAAGAGAGCTGCTCGGGTCGAGCAGGCTGCTTCATGCGCGTTCACGCTCAGGCATAGCCCGTAGCATTTGCTATCAGTAGCTTTAGCAGCAGAGAGTGAGGTAGTGCCAACTCAGCGACTTTGTCGCGGTTTCTAACGCCTAGTGATGAACCTAGCTACATTTCTGAGGACCCTTAGCTACATTCTTCTAGATATTTCCTGCAAATTAGCAACAAAATTGCCATTTTTGCTCCAAACCATTCTTTGCACGTTGTTTCAGTTGTCATCAAG